GTTCCCATCAGTGTTTGTTTTTAACCTTTTTTTATCTCTTCTTAAAGAGATTAGTGCAGTTTAAACATCGATTATCGATTAACTACTGTTACCTCTGATTCGCCACCCAATTCATACATCCACAAATAATTTAATATCATTGTAGAATATTTGCGTTATATGAAAGTAGAAAAAAAACCTTTGAAATCCTTGTAAAATTGATATTATTCTAGTCTACATAATATGTTCATTCCAGAACTTGATACCCTTTATTTAGAAGAACAATGATATATTTATCATTTTCATACATATTATATTCTTTCTGGATTTATTTCCACTAATGTATGTTCATGTATAAGTAGCGTTTTAGACTTTATATTTCACAGTTACATTTTGTTAACGTCTATATTTGAGAAACTGTGAAGCATTCCTTCTCATTAACAATAAAAAATAAAACAAGCATTAACTCAAAGTCCATATTTAAGAACAATATTTGATACAACAAAAGTAACCAAAAGCAAAATAAAGCCAATCTCTCTGATAAAATTTTTTGAGAGCAAAATTGAACCAGGGAAAACCATAACAAAAACTACTGTAACAGTTTAACTAGATGCTCTAAAGAGCATGTGTCGCTCAACTGCATCTTCAACAATGGCCATTTTTTAGTAACAATTATCATTAAAGACGACGCCGAGGGGGGTTTAACGACCTTGACTACACATGAGGGTCTTGGACGGTCGGTATATTTCATTTAAGGAGAATAACTCTATTAAGAGTTAACTGCCAATTTCAGTCATGTTGACATATTTGTAGATCTTATCCTGCTGCTAATTTTTTCTTTTTAAAGTTTATATTCATCTATTATAGTTTTCAAGATAATAGACAAAAAATGCATAATTTTTTATTACTAATTGGTTTTGGCTTTTAACCAGCTGTCAGTAACTGCGAGTACTCTCAAATCGTACTTTCTTGTTTATTTGACCTGTTGATACTAATTGTAATGCTTTTTTGTTATTTTATGTTTACTTATTCAGTGTTATATCTGGTCTATATACCAGCTTTGATAAGTGTGTAGTATTACTATAAATTTTCACTTCTTCGTACTATGAACATCAAAATTATTTATTTTGTAAATTATTTCCTTTCTCCATTTGAACTGTACACGTATACCTAACAACAAAATTATTTTCATTTACCTGTGTTTTAAGTAATTGCAAATGGCTGATATTTTTGTTCAAGCATATTGTTTTTCTTAAATTGTTTAACATTTCACAGCGGTATAACATGTTACTTTAATTATCCTCCCTTAGTTTATTTATTTTGTTTTAACATTGTATCATAGATCAAATTTATTTGTTCAGTGTATGTTCACTGGTGTTAATATGTCTTTTGATTGAGTTAAGCCATTTTAATTGATATTTTATAGTGTGTCTTTCTATGTTGTGATGTTACACTATTGTTTCAGATAGGGTTGAAGGTTTGGTACCATTAAAACGTTTAAACCCGCTGCAATTGATTGCACCTGTCCTGAGTCAGGAATCTGATGTTCAGTAGTTGTCGTTTGTTGATGTGGTTCATAAGTGTTTCTCGTTTCTCGTTTTTTATATAGATTAGACCGTTGGTTTTCCGGTTTGAATGGTTTTACACTAGTATTTTTTTAGGCCCTTTATAGTTAGCTGTTCGGTGTGAGCCAAGGCTCCGTGTTGAAGACCGTACTTTGACCTATAACGGTTTACTTTTATAAATTTTGACTTGGATGGAGAGTTGTCTCATTGACACTCAACACGGAGCCTTGGCATGACAGACGATTTTGGTCATGTTGACTTTCTGTGGATTTTGTCTTGCTGATCATTTTTGCTTTTTAAAGTGTCTGTCTTATTTATTATTATTTTCAGGATAAAAGGCAACAAGTTTTAAAACGTACGATTCGTCATTTAATGGCAATAACCCCTATAAGAAGTCGTTTGACAGTTTTGATGTAAATACACAATAGGTAGAGCTCAACATTTTCAATATTTTCCTTCCGCCAGTTTTTCTCGGTGTATTTTTTTCGAAATTATAAGCAAACCTTGCATTTTACTCCTGTGTTCTATTTTAGCCATGGCGGCTATCTTGGTTGACAGCCGAGGTCATGGATCACATTTTTAAACTAGATATCCTAATAATGATTGTGGGATAGTTTTGTTAAATTTGGCTAAGTAGTTTCAGAGGAGAAGATTTTATGTAAAAGTTAACGGATTACAACGGACGCCAAGTGATGAGATGTGGGATATCTAGTTATGATATATGTCTAAATTTGTGTTTTGTGTAATGTGTAATGTTTCTTGTCTGTTTGTCTGTTGTTTTTTTTTTCTTTTCTTGCCATGGCGTTGTCAGTTTATTTTCAAATTATGAGTTTGAATATCCCTTTAGTATCTTTCGCCTCTCTTTTACTGAAAGACCGCGAATATTTTTCAAATTATATCAACATTTTATAACGAAAATCATTTGCGTGTATAAAAATTAACGTTTTACACTTAAGCTTTTTACCATTTTCACTTTGAGGTAACAAATTTGACATTTTTTTTAAAAACTCTTTTTGAACATCAGTCATGCTGTTTCCTATGTTAATGTATTTTGCATTGTGAAATGTCAAAACAAATACAGATAAATAATAGGAAACCACCGACAACGTACGTAGGAAATTTTTGATTTGACATTGTCATCGCAATCTGCAATGCATGGATAATATCTGTTCCATAATCCTTATTGTACAAGTCTGTGTGTCCGACGAGACAATCGAAGATATAAAAATTAAACATAACATTCCTTTAGTAAAGCTAATAAAGAAGCAAAACGTTAGCAACAGGTTCATAAATATAACATAGAATTAAACGAGTTGCATTCCAATACTTAAAATCAAAAAAATATCTATATTAAAAAAATGCTGTATTCATGCAATACCACACTAAATAAAACAAATATGGCTAAGATGAAGAAGATATAGTTTAAAATACTGAAGATAAGTTCAGTTGATAAAAGCAGACTATTGTAATCCCAATGTGTGCATACTGAACATTTGCTACATATTAAAAAAAATAAGTCAGATAAGCGGGATTTTCTCGCTGCATTGAAGACCCATTGTTGGCCTTCGGCTGTTGTCTGCTCTTTGGTCGGGTTGTTGTCTCTTTGAAATATTCCCCATTTCCATTTTCAATTTTACTACTGTTTCTCTTATGTACCCTTTACGTGTAACTTTTGCTATATCGCCGTTGCGCTTTCTTTGAAAATTCAAAAAATCTATATCTTGTTTTTAAAATACCCCAAATAATTAAGAACACTGCATCATCTATGTACAGTGTTTGCAGAGTTAGTTTTGTTCTTAAAAGCTTGTGTGACCTAAAAAGGCTTCCATAGAAGGCACGATAATATGAAATACTAGTCAGGGTAATAAACTTATATCATTCACGTTCTCCATCCCTAGTTGGTTTTTCCGTTATCACGTGACTGTGTTGACATCGTTCACAGGGTGATTTTTACATTTTTGAAACCATTTTGTCTTCTGTCGAATATTCTTCATTACCGAATTTGACCAATGGATACTACGATAGTTGTCGCATGCGAAGCAAGATAGTCTTTCTTTCCGTTTCACCAGATATATTTTCGGTTTCAATGAAAATTCGTTATTGGTTTATGGCTTCTTTTTTTGCAATACACCTATGCAATAAAACTAACGGTACCAATTTTTCTGCACCTTTTATATATGATACATATATAACGTTCATTACCTGATTACGGCACATTAAATGTAGTAAAGCAAATGTTACTATCTATCAAAAAGTTCAATACAAAAGAAGAAAATCTTTTACTGAAAAAAATACTTAAAAAGAAAATTCTTTTCACTTCATTTTGCAAATGAAGGCATCGCAACATATATGAATCAATCTCTAAAAAAAGCCAGGGAAATAATTATTTTGCAAGTACACATGTACTTTCACAACGATTATAAAAAGAACAAAAAAGGTATTGTCAATTCAAGTTTTTGATAAGATATGTAATAAAGCTAGAAACGAATTCACAAACTTTGTTTATATTAATGTACATATGTATGCATATATGTTTTATGTGTATTTGAAAAAAAAATCTGCACTATAGAAAAAGTGCACCCCATTCTATAGTTTGCGATCGAATTTAGACTATGTTTACTTTACCTTAAGGTTTGTTTTGTCCATTTCAATATCTTAGTCCCTTCATATACTACTTAATAAATTACAACTGACACTTACATGTGTTTAATGTTTTCCAGTACTGTTTACAGTTTACGCTATTTACGTTTCAGCAACACAATGCAGAACATACACGTGTTGGTCGTTTTATTAACACTTATTACGCAAAACAATTGATGAATTGTGGTCCGACTACAGTAGTTTTCAATAAATCGTTGAAGTTTGCTCTCATATCCTTTTTTATATGCATATGTACATTTAAGTTACTCACGGTACGATTGAATGCATTTTGGTTGGAAAACGTAACATGAATTGGTTTGCTAATTAATTTAAAATTATATTATCTGTTATATTATTCAGCACATATATTTCTTTTTTTTTCTTTTTTTTTGTGATAAATGTAACAGCTTCCTAATTCATCATAAATGTTTTAAATGTTTCTGAATTCATTTTATAGTCATTTGTAAGTGCTACATGTCATATTCATATCAAGTCAGAATCAAATATATTATTCTTCAATTAACCCTCATCAAGACCATTCAGAGCCAAAAGGTACATACTAATAAATTACAAGTAGTTATTACAAAACGAAAGATACAACAACATGAATTTAAAATATTAAACTTGTTGTTTTTCGCATCTGCTGTTACAATAAAATCTATTCATATATTAGATTAAATCATGAAGTGTCTTTGATCTTATGTAAATATTATTTTTATGGTCGAAATAATTTCTTAATATCAAAACCATTTTGTCAATCAATAATTTTTTAAAACATATTTATTCATATTTATCATGTAAGCAATGATTTCTTACCTGAGAAAATTGTTATTCGTTCTGTAGGATTGTACGATCTGATGCGGTGTAACGATCCTATAGCATTTGATTTACTATACTGCCTAACCCAATAGCAATCAGTACTACGATGTATTTATAGACCAATATCCGTTACCCACGACTTCGGACAATCGCTTGTCATTATAAAATCATTCAAAGGTTTCAAGTTCTGTCAGAATATATATTACAAAATTCAATTTTCTAGAACAAGATGTAACATTTGATGAGGGTGTTATTTGTATTCAACAAATCATTTCAAACTGAAATGAATTCAATATTTACGTAACACTGATTGAACAAAAACATGGAACCCTACCGAAGTATTTGCTTTATCAAAATCATAGCAAACATTTTGCCTTAATATGACCTGCAATTTTAGAAGTAATAATGTATTTGAATGTTTTATCATCGTCAAGATATAACTTTATTAGAAATATAAATTCTAGTTTGAGGGTTTTGCTTGAAATTGTTTTAACTAAATCATATGGCAACAACTGAAACTTAAAACCTAACTATTATTTTAAAGAATGCACGCAAGTTAATACTCGTGGTCGGATCCGCTTAAGGAAATCGATCACCTACATATCTGAATATGCTAAACATATTACACTATCCCCTTAAAGATGTAACGTTTGAAGCTGATAACAAATTATAATGTCAGCCTAATACACCTTCAATAAAGATATACATAGATATAGGAAGATGTGGTATGAGTGCCAATGAGACAACTCTCCATCCAAGTTACAATTTATAAAAGTATAATACTTAAATATTTGCAGGTAAAACGCGAGAAAAACGCATTACATGCCATCGCTTGATCCGGGATAATTTTCTTTTTCAAACCAACTATCAATAGCAGATACTTTTATGTATAATTTGCTGTAGATGTTTCATGAACAAATTCTATTGTTACTTATCCAATCCTTTAACAAATCGCAGCTGTAGTTTTCAGTATGTAGTGGGAAATGAGCGCTTCTTTCAAAAAACGAACGAAAAACATTCATATCGTTCTCGAAATGGACTGAAACAAACAGTATGTTGAATGGTCATTATGTGTTTGAGATACAATAGACAAGCGATCATAGTTCGTTAACATAGATTTGAACTATGTCTTCAAGTGCTACTCTCAACGTTAACTCTTCATTCTAACCTTGTGGCTACAAAAACGCATCAAAGAGACCACGATAAACAATCAATTTATAAATATGACAATATCAAAGATAATTCATGTCAACAGAGTATAACTGCTGACTACTAGACTAGTGATAGCCTCGGGGTGAAAACCTCCACCTTCAGTGACATCGACCCGTCAAATTCCCAAAGATACATAGGGCCGTGTCAACGAAGATGTCTTAGGACTAGGACGTGTCTTGGGATGGTCTTAGGACACGTCTCAGTCCTAATTCAGGTTAACGAAAGTCTCCTAAGATAAGATATGTCCTAAATTTGGTCCTAAAGTTAGAATATATACATAAGTGTCTTCGGATAGTCCTAAACGTTACGACGTCCTAAGTCGAAATAAAAACAACAAATATGGCCTTCAGTCAGTATTTGAAGAATTTATCTTTGTGTAGATACTATCCCATGTCTTTTCCTTGATATTATTCGTCGCCACATTTGATAGCTTGTTGAAAAATTTCCTTCTGCTTATTTACATCGGCAAACAGAATTTAATGATAATATTTACATGTAATGAAATCGAGTGGATATAAAGACAAAACTAGTTATATAGCTTAAATTGAAACGTAATAATAGCCTCTAACAAAGTTTTATGACAATTTAATTTAGTTGTATGATTCACCATTTACAATAGTAAATAATAATGTATCTATTAGTATTAGTATTTCGTTAAAACTTTACAATGCATTGATTGGTTTTTTTTCTCATAAAAGATGCAACCTCCCGCCCTCTACATATATACTTAAATACATTAAGATATGTTTCATTTAATTCTCTCCATATATTAATTGATTAAATAAATGGGTTAGGATTGTCCTAGGACAATCGTAGTTAGGACTGTCCTAAGATAGCTTTGTTTTACATCCTAAGATATGTCTCAGACACGTCCTAAGACCATCCTATATAATGTCCTAATACATATCGTAAGACAAATCCTAGGATACTTTCATTGACATGGCTCCTAGCTTATATTTGATATGTTTCCCTCGGTTTTGGTTTGTGACTCGGATTTTTTTTCGCTTAATCGATTTATGACTATTGAACAGCGGTAAACTACTGTTGCCTTTATTTATAATTGTATTTCAAACAATTTACAGTTATTTGATAACTATGATAATATCAATGATAATTCATGTCAAAACAGAAGTGCTGACTACTGAGCTGGTGATACCCTCTGGGAGAAAACCTTCAAGGAGGAAATTCGAACCCCAGAAAAAAACCATAAACATATGCAAAAGTCGAAGGAAATTTTTTTTTAACTTATTCCAGTTGAGAACAAAAAATCAATAGATTAAGCCAATTCAAAATTAATGAAATAAACATTACGAAGGAACAATTGAAAACGATTCGATGACTTCATTTCATTGACGGAATAAAGAAGCGTTACCCCTAGAAAAAGAAACCACGGTACATGAATAGGCTGTTGTCACAGCAGTGGTTAAATGAAATGTTCATAACAGGTTTTGAATTATATCATGTTTTAATAAAACAGGTGTAGACTTTTCATATCGGTCATTACATAATGCTTTGTAGGCAGATGGCCTTAGTAGTCCCCTACAGTTCCACTCACCTGTTAACAACAAGGTTGTGAGTTCGAGCCCCGCACGTGGCAGGTGTGTTTGACACCGATCTTAATTGACTAGATTTGCGAATTTTTCTTCGCCGGGCACTCAGGCTTCCTCCACCAATAAAAACTGGCTGCCACGATATAGCAAAAAGTTCTGAAAGTGGCGTTAAACACCAACAACCAATCAATCAATCAACCAACCAATCGAAAAACTGTAAACCTAGTCGATGAAGTTCATCAAAATACTATAATTGTATCATATTGTTCGTTTTGAAACATTACTATATAGGAAAAAAATAGAAAAAAATAAATTAAACTATACGACAAAAGAGACGATTTCAACTTTGATATCACACTTTCCATTTTACGGCTTTGTTCCTCTTGTCCCATCATATGGCGCATACATTTAACAACTTGTACAGGTTGTTACATGTAATTATGTTCAAATAAAGCTTACTTTATTGAATGCTACCTTCACAGACTTTTGAATACTTTAAAATAAATTTAAAGTTGATATCGGTATCTTTCCTGTAATATTTTTTTTTTATAAAAAGTATAATATAAGACGATATTTCTCCTCCTTCCTTAAATTGTTAATTAACCTTAAATACTAAAATCATATATTTAAACTCGGTAAATTTCTCAAATTATTCCAGCAATTATGCAAAGCAAGGGATATGCTGTAACGCGTAATAATATTAGTTATCTTGGTGTAATCAGGGGTGTACAGAATTTTACACCGTTGTTGAAAATTCATACACCCTGAGGCGCAGCCGAATGGGTGTATGAATTTTCAACAACGGTGTAAAATTCGGTACACCCCTGATTACACCAAGATAACGGATTTATTTCTTATGAACAATTCCTTCACTAATTTTAAAACCGGGATGTAAAATTGAAAAATGCTAATGAAAAATTTCCAGTTTACATTTTTTCAACGTTGATGTTGCTGCGTATTGTCAAATACTTTTTTTCTTTATTTTGGGGAAATTAAGAAAAAACATTTTGTCCTTTTGAATTTTCGGGAAAACAAAATTTTTTCATTTTTTTTTTTTAATTTTTTTACAAATTTTTGTCCTCAAATTTATTTTTTTTTATATGTTTTTTTTTTTTTTTATTTTGACCATTTATTTATTTATTTATTTATTTATATATTTTTTTTTTTTTTTGACATTTTATTTTTTTTTTTTTTTACTTTATTTTGGCAAATTTTTTATTTTTTTTTATATTTTGGCATAATTTTATTTATCCCGGGGTGAACAAGGGTGGGATGTTATTTACACCGGGGTAATTAACCAATCAGTTTGCAGTATTTTTGTTGCATAAGAAATAAGTTCATTTATTCAGTAGAAATGTTCTTTCTTTCGTTCGATGGTCTGACAATTTAAATATTTACTGACCTCTAACAAGTTCTGCTGATCTAAATTTAATCAATTTATGATTAGACTTCATGAAACCTGTTACGAGTTTTGTTTCTGATTTCATTTCTTTTTCTGGAGCGGCTGTATCCGACCAATAGCTGTAGTAGTAAGCTCCTTATAGTAGCGAGCATATTTTGATCCCGCTTTCCAAACTATGTGCCGTTTTTATTTCATTGTTTCAATTAGTGGCCATCCTCTTAGCTTTACTGTGTAAAGCTTCTTTTGTGTGCTTTTCTTGTCATCTGTCTTTGCGTTTATGTGTGCGGGTTTTTCTTTTTTTATTAAGTCGGGTGTTGTTGGTTGCTTTGATCTGTTGTACTGTGCGGTATTTTTGGTGATTTTTATTATCCCTTATTATATATTAAACATTAATGAAACGTAAATGTACTTTCAGGATGAAAACATCCGACGTATATTTCATCTGCAAAAAGATTAGCCTCAATAAAAAACACAACTTTTTCATGATCTGGACAGGAGTTCCATTTATAAAGAAGTTTTGGTATTTTGGATAATTTTCTTGACAGCCCGACTTATAACCGGGTCTATATTAGGTTTATAGACTAAAGAATAATGTCCAAAAAATAATGAGTTGATAAAAATGAGTCAAAAATTAAAGAATAAAGAAAAATGGGATCAAAAAGTATAAAGAATAACTGTGCAATATAAAGGAAGGAATTTCTTGTAGGTAATACAATTCTAATTACAGAAATGGACGATGTACAGAACAAAGAAATCCTTAAACTAAAGATTGGTTTATTTGTTTTTTTTTTTTTTTTTTTTTGTGTGTTGGTTTTCTTAATCATATAATATATATATAAATATATAAATATGTTACAGGCATTTTCTAAATTTAAGCATTTTATAA